GACGACGACGCCCGCAGGGACTTCGAGCGCGCGGCGCGGCTGGGCAGCCCCTTCGCGCGGCGCCAGCTGGTGCTGCTCAACCCGTACGCCGCGTTGTGTAACCGCATGCTGGCCGACATGATGGGGCAGCTGCGCGGCCCCCGCAACGGACGCTGAGCGCGCGGGAGGGCCCGGCGCGGGGCGTGGGGGGCTGAACCAATAAAGCTGCGGAGCTGAGCGACTGCGCGCCTTTCAGTTCTCTTACGCGCCCACGCACGGGAGCCCTCGCTCGGGCTGACCAGCCAGGGGGCCCGGGCGCCGGCCGGGAGGGGCGGGAGCGGCCACCCCCTCGCCCAAGGTCGGGCATTGATTGGCCCTGCCTGGCGCGGCCCCCGCCCTCGCCGCGGACTGCGGTGCTCATCAGACCTGAACAGTTGCTCGGTTGCGCTGTCGGAGGGAGCCAGGTGAGCCGCTGGGGAGCGGGTGATGGCGGGATGTTTGCGCGAGCCTCCTCTTGGGCCCAAAGCCACCTGAGCAAGCGGGATCGGAGAAGGACGCACAGGGCGAGAGATGGGAGGGAGAACGGGGCAGGAGAAAGGACAGCGTCGGAGGAGGGCAGTCCGCGTGGGGGAGGGGTATGTGCAGACCGTGTGTGTGTGTGTGTGTGTGTGTGTGTGTGTGTGTGTGTGTGGTGCAGCTGCACAGTTGCCCCTTCTGTGTATCTCCGTGTGTGTGCCGTTTGTCCCCAGCAGTCAGAGCCGGGTTCTGCGCCCGCAGGTGCCCAGGTATGTGCCGGGTGGGTCTGTGCCTGTGCCCCTGGGCTTCGCTCTTCGGCCGTGCCTCGGCCCCTGCGGGCCAGTCTACAGTCGTGACTCCGCGCATGGTTCTTTTTGTCTTTCGAGAACAAATTTCTGAAGGAGTTACTAGGCCTGCCTGCTTTCATCTGGCTGACACCGAGGCCAGCCCGTAATCTCAGCAGCCTGGGCCCAAGCCCTGGCCACCATGGGGCTGCCTCCAGGCCCAGCCATCCTCCCGCACACGCTGCTGCTCCTGCCAGCCCTTCTGAGCTCAGGTACACTCCTGTTGGTCCCTTGGCCAAGCACTTCTGGGTGCCAGAGCCCGTCCTTCCCCTCCTTGCCTGCACCTTCCACCTAGTGCCCTCTCTAGGTGGGACAGACCCCAACTCCAAGCCCAGGTTCCCTTCTCCCACTCAGCCTAGGCTAGCTTTGCGCAGTGGCAGTATCTAGCCGATGAGGTTTATCTGAGGCGCGATTATTGCTAGCTGAAAAATTCTCCCACTTAACCTACCCTAAATCCAGCCAGTCCCTAGGAAGAGAACCCAGCTGCCCTGTCTGTTGACCTGCTTCCCCTTTGTAACTGGACCCCACCCTAGTCACAGAACAGTATTAACCTCCCCCAGCCCCTCCTAGAGGCTGCCTGCTGTGTTCCAGGCTGCGGGGAGTTGGCACCACAAATTGATGGTCACACCTGGGCCGAGAGGGCACTTCGGGAGAATGAGCATCATGCCTTCACCTGTCGGGTGGCAGGGGGCCCTGGCACCCCCCGATTGGCCTGGTACCTGGATGGACAGCTACAAGAAGCCAGCACCTCAAGACTGCTGAGTGTAGGCGGGGAGGCCTTCTCTGGAGGCACCAGCACCTTTACTGTCACTGCCCAGCGGGCTCAACATGAGCTCAACTGCTCCCTGCAGGACCCTGGCAGTGGCCGGTCAGCCAACGCCTCTGTCATCCTCAATGTGCAATGTGAGTAACCCTGGGTGGGCAAGGGGAGAGGTTCCTGGACCCCCGGCAGTCATGAGGCAGGTTTCCAGCATGTTAGCCAACACTTAGGCTCTTTGAAAATATTAATTCACTTTATCCTCATATAATTCTATGACAGGATGGTCATTTTTATCCCCATTTTAGAGATGTGAAAACTGAGGCACAAAGAGGTTAAGCAGTCTGCCCAAAGTTATATGGGTGGTGTAACTTTTAATATTTACTATAACATTATTTATTTATTATTTTTTTTTTTTTGGTACTGGAAACTGAACTCAGGACCTTGTGCTTGCCAGGCAGGCACTTATGCCACTGAGTCATATCTTCAGCTATAACATTTTTTAAAAGGCAGGTGGCCCACGGTTTGTGGGTTAGACAGGCCTACATAGTGATCATTATGAAATGCTGCCCCTGGTGGGCTCAGCCATCCTATCTCAGTGCCTACTCTGAGAAGCTCAGACCTCTGGCTCCCATCTGGATTTGGGAAGAAAAGACCAGAGTATATGGGGCTGTGGTGAGCACATATTATTCTCTTTTTTATGCTAGTTAAGCCAGAAATTGCCCAGGTTGGGGCTAAGTACCAGGAAGCTGAGGGCCCAGGCCTCCTTGTTGTCCTGTTTGCCCTGGTGCGAGCCAACCCACCTGCCAATGTCACCTGGATTGACCAGGATGGGCCCGTGACTGTCAACACCTCTGACTTCCTGGTTCTGGATGCTCAGAACTATCCCTGGCTCACCAACCACACCGTGCAGCTGCAGCTCCACAGCCTGGCTCACAACCTCTCAGTGGTGGCCACCAATGATGTCGGCATCACCAGTGCCTCACTTCCAGGCCCAGGTGAGCAGTGCTGACAGCTGGTTTAGCGAAGTCTTAGGTGGGTGCAAGGATCACAGTATAGAAACGGGAGGACTTCCCTGCCCTTTGGGTGGGTCTTGTGGATGAGCTGTCCTTCGCCATCTCAGGCAAGGAGGACAGAGTGGTTTGGCCTGTGGCATCTCAGGGTTGGGGGTATTGCCCACTTGGAGGCTAACAGTGGACAACCTGCAGGGCTCCTGGCCACCCGGGTGGAAGTGCCACTGCTGGGCATCGTTGTGGCTGGAGGGCTTGCCCTGGGCACCCTAGTGGGATTCAGCACCTTGGTGGCCTGCCTGGTCTGCAGGAAAGAGAAGATCAAAGGTAGGGCCAGGGGCAGCGGGGGCAGAGGGTGGCTGGAGGAGTGGCAGTGAGGTTGGGGGTGACTAGCAAGGGGTGCTGGAAAGAATGGGTCATTTCTGCCAGTTGGCAGACCTATTGTAGGATGTGGTTGTAGGCAAAACAGCCCAGGTAGCAGGGACAGGCACGGAGAACCCAGGCTCTGGTCTCAAGGCCAGGGTTGGGCATTTGAGAGGCTCCTTTCTAGAGGGTCCAGGTCTGAAGGGGCAGGGGGCAGAGCCCACTGTGGGTGGGTACACAAGAATCAGTGACATGGTTTCTTTCTCCTCAGGCCCCTCCCGACGCCCATCTCTGATCTCTAGGTAACTCCTCCTAGGGCTGAGTGGATGGGCTGAACCCAAATGCAGAGTGGGGACAGGTGGGAACTGGGGTTTCTGGGAGGCCTGGGATGGGCTTCAAACCAGGAGCTTGTGCCTGCTGGTGCCCGGCGTATCTCAGCCTTGTTTCCACTTTGTAGTGACTCTAACAACCTGAAACTCAACAATGTGCGCCTGCCCCGGGAGAACATGTCCCTCCCGTCCAACCTGCAGCTCAATGACCTTGCCCCAGATCCCAGAGGTATGTCCAGAGCCCTGGTGCTTGCCCCTGCTTTATCTTCAGAAGTGCTCCTGAGAGACAGAGAGACCCTAGTTCTTAAGGGGGGGAAGCTCCACCAGCCATACCCCTCATCCTGGGCACTACCTTCTTTGTCACCCAGCAGAGAAACTAGCAGACCGGCCAATGGCTCGGAACAGCAGTCGGCCAGAACTTCTGGAACCTGAGCCTGGTGGCCTCCTCACCAGCCGAGGTACTGGGGAGTGGGCCTGCTGCCCTCCTTCTTATGTCCCAGCCCTGTGCTTATGCCACAGGTCTCTGAATGCCAGAGGGCAGAGAGCGCTTCCCCGGGTTCCAAGGAACCAGGATCACTGTCCTCTGGGCATCTCTGACCCTGCAGGTTTCATCCGCCTCCCAATGCTGGGCTACATCTATCGAGTATCGAGTGTGAGCAGTGATGAGATCTGGCTCTGAGCAAGGTGGAACAGGAGTGCCCTTTACCACGGCACCCGAAGTACCCACCCTCTGTTCCTCAGTGCATCCTCTGCCTGGGCATGTGGCCAACACAAAGAGACCATGCCACTGGCACTGGCTGGTCCTCTCGCCTGGGGTATCTGGGAATCAAGCACATAATCTGTTTCGCTGGGATCTGACACATAGTTAGGGCTGCCAGCCAGAACTAAGCCCTTTGTGCTAACTCAGGTTGGGGCCTGCATGTGATGACCAGGCCCAGGCAGATAGAACTCTCGGGCTAGGTGTGTCCAGGTGTCACCCAGGACCCAAGTGTGGTTTGGCTTGCTACATGGCCCGCACCCATATTCAATGCACCTTGTATAGTAGGCATGGGGGATGCTTATAGACAGGGAGGACCCTGCATGTCTTGAATGTCTTCTTATGCTATGCAGCTTTGTTCCCTCAGGGAAAATGCAGTACCTGCTAGCTGTGTAGACCCAAACTGCCCTTTGCACAAGAACCAACCTGTGGCCCGGGGCCACCGCCAAGCACAACTTGTCCCTTTTGCTGCATACCTCCCTGCCCTTCACCCCGTGCCTCTGGCCCTGCATCTTCTTTGACATCATGGGTTATACACTGGATCTTCTCTGTTCCTTCTCCTGGCACTCTGTTCACTTCCGCATTGGCCTGATCCCCAGCAGTGCCAGTGCCTGGTGTTAGCACAAGTCTGGGAAGAAGAGAAAGGTGGCAAGTCTGGTGGCACCCAGGGTTGCATGTAGCTATGTTATCATTTTTAACAGTGTTCGCACTTTAAGCACATTCCCTAGGGGAGGGGGTAAGAGAGAGCCCAGGGCCCTCTGGGATCCCCAAGTTTGGCCTTCCTGTGATTCACTGTGAGTGTCCAGAGCCCTCAGGTGGTTCCCCTCTCAGCAAGTCTCCCTGCCAGGGGACTCCAACCTGACCAACCCCTCACTGTCCCATCTGTCAGAAGCCATTTGTCCTACCCCACCCTCTGTTCTTTAGGTGGAGCTAAAGAGGCTACATAATTCAACAGTTCCAAAAACTTCAGGGAGACATAGAGAAAGGGGGAGACTGCACACTCCAAAATGCTTTTAAGAAGCAACATGAAAATTATTGGAAATTAGCAGAGTGCAGAGTATATTTTTCCCTTGTTGTTTTATAATTTTTCTCACGTTACTGCCTAGGACAGTGCTAAGCACACCGTAAAATCAATAAACTTCACTGAATGAATATATTTGCTCTCTTTCTTCAAATGTCTTTTTTTTTTTTTATTTTTTTATTTTGTTTTTTTGGGGGGGTTTTCCGGTACCGGGAATTGAACTCATGACCTTGCGCTTGCCAGGCAGGTGCTGTGCCGCTGAGCTAAACCCCAGCCCCTCAAATATCTTTTTAAATGAAGAAAGATTTTTGGTGGTGCTGGAGATCAACCCCAGGGCCTTGTGCGTACTAATAGATGTTCTCCACTGAGCTCCATCCCCAACCCTTAAATAAAGTATTTAAATCACAGTGTATAAATTGGGCATGGTGGCACACCTAATCCTGGCACTGGGAGGCTGAGGCAGGAGGGCAGCAAGTTCACACATGGCCTGAGCAACTTAGTGACTAAGCAAGACCCTGTCTCAAAATTTAAAAGGGCTGGGGATGTTTCTCAGTGTAGACCCTGGGTTTATTCCTCAGAAGGAGGGGAGATTTGAGTCAGAGCAGAGCACTTAGCTGATCTGGTGTGAGGCCTAAGCTCTGCATATGCAAGCATGTGATTATGGTTGATTTGAGAGTTTGTGAGAAACCATCCATCACCTGTGTGTGCACTGTATATGTATAAGGCTGGTAGCCTGGGCTACAAAGTGAGTTCAAGGCCAGCCTGAACTCTATAGTGAGACCCTGCTCAAAAAGATGAGAAGAAAAAAAAAAAAAGGCTGCTAATGTAGCATCTTAATGTTGTCTTCCCCGCCAATTGCTGCCCTGCTTTCTCCGCTTATCAGTACTTGGCTGAATTATCTATTCAGTGGCTAGGAGTCATCCTCGATCTCTTCCCTGAGTCACAGCCAGCCTCGCACCAAGTTCTTTCGGTTCTGCCTGGTCACTTACGTTGCCTCAGTGAGAGGGGAACCCTGAAGCATGTCAGCAGACAGCCCTGCCGAGCGTCCCCATCCAGGGTGCTAGCATTAGCTCCCGCCTGTGTGGCCAGTCACGTTTCAACAAAACGATGGGGCTGAGGAGTCCGAGTGCTGAACTCTTCTCTGCTTATAATGCCGGATCTTCCAGACTCCGCTGTCTGCTGTCCATTTCTGCTCCGCATCACTGCAGTGCTGGGACTGAGGGTAGGTGGTCTTCAGCAGGGCAAAGCGTGGCACCTCAGCCCCTCAAGACCTGGCCGCAGCAGATCTCTGTTGCCAGTGCCTGCCGTAGACACCACCCGTGACCATCGTGTGTCTTCAGTACCCTCCATTCTCCCTTCTCCTTCAGCCCTTCCTAACACTTTTAAGACAGAGTCTCTCTGCAATTCACACTGGTCTTGAGCTGACTTACGTAGCGCAGGCTGGCCTTAAACTTGCAGAGATTCTCCTGCCTCAGCCTCCCAAATGCTGGGATTACAGGCGTGAGCCACCATGCCCGGCACCTGCCAACGCTTTTGCAACCAGTGTCTTTCATGAAATGCCCTTTGTTAGAAATCACTTGCATGGTTTCAGATTTTCTGGCTCTCTAGTAGTTCCTAAGTCTGTCTATCTCTACTTACACCACTCTGCTGCAAGCCACACTCATCTCGCACTGGACTACTGCAATACCAGGGTCATTGGGGTCAAGACGGACAGGAGCCCTGGAAGGGAGGCAGTATTCCCTGCACAGAGGCCCTCACAAAATGAAATTCTGGGAGGAAAAGTGACTCCCACAACCAATAAGCAATCGATTCCACAGCACTGAACACGAGGTGGGTGTCTCCTACTGCAATTCTGACACTATCTACCTTGAGACAGCATCGGACCCCACAGGCTGGGGGCTCAGTCCCCAAGACCACGCCCCCACTTCAGATGCCAGGCACAAGCCCACAGTTGTTTCACCTGTGCTTCTGACCAAGCAGAAAGAAATTTGGGTTACTGTAATCCCCTCCTTAGGTTCAACTGATTTGCATGCAGCAGCTCACAGAATTCAGAGGAACACGTCACTGGCTGAGCAAGGGTATTACAAAGGGCACAAATGAGATGCCCAAGTGGGCGTGGGGGAGGGGTACAGGGCTTCCATGCCCCTCTACGCAGTCACCTTCTAGGAACCTTTATGTACCTGGCTCTCCAGAAGCTCTCCGAACCCTGGCCTTTGAGGCTACACTGCAGGCTTGACTAAAATGCAAACGGAGCCGAGTGTGGTGGCACAAGGCTGAGGCAGAGGATCACTGTGAGTCTGAGGCCAGCCTGGGCTACAAAAGCTGAGTTCAAAGAGGGGCTGAACTATATAGTGAAACTCTGTCTCAAGAAAAAAAAGAAATGCGGACACAAAGCACTCGAGCTAATGCTGTGTGGGAAAGCCAGCAGGGCCTGTCTGATGAGATTCTTCAGTACTGCTTCCTGGAGAATGTGGGGCAGGACCCCTCCTGAAATGGGGGTCTCAACATCTACTACAAGCAAGGTAGGTCAGAGGAATTGCAGATTAAATTTCTCTGACCTGCCTTGAGGAAGGGAAATTCTGTTTCTGTGGCCTGCCTTGAGATTAAAAAAAAAAAAAGGAGGAGAAGGGAGCAGAAGGTCAGAGGCAGTGGGGGGCTTTCTGGGGCCTGTAGCTCCCCAACGCTATTCTAGTCACTCAGGAAATAAGGGCAATGGAAGTAATGGGCCAGAAGCTGCAGAAACAAAAGAAAGTATCAGAGCACAAACTGACACAGCATTTTATTTGTAAAATTAGTGCCAACTAACTTTAAGAATGAAAGAAAAGCTGAGGCTGACACAAGAAGATTGCCAGGAGTTCAAGGCCAGCCTGAACTACATAGTGAGACCATCTGAAAAAACAAAGGAAATCAAAATAAAAAGCAAACAAAAGAATGAAAGTAAGTCCATCCCCAAAAGAACATCTTTTAAGCTTTCCTCCCAATCTGTGCTCTGTGGGATCTCAAAACAATCTTCTAACTCAAATCCCCACAGTGGAGCGGATGTGTAACCAGCCTGTTAAAGCAGTCTGAGTCGGGCAGAGCCCGGCAACGAACATGCAAAGTGTCTTCCGGAGGGAGGGTACAGGGCAGCGCAGGCCCAGCCTCGCTGCAGAACAGGCAGGCGCCGGGTGGCTGACAAGGATCTGTCATCTCAGACTCCACACAGGCTCCGGGGGCTCAGCTGAGCGTTAGAGTCTCTGCGTCTCCAGCTTGAGAGGTGCAGTTGGATGGAGGGGTGAATACTTTCTTGCCTTCAGCCAGAGCTTTGAAATGCTGCCAGGAAAGAGAAGAGAGAATGCTGAGCATGGCGGATGTGCTAGCTGCTGTATTTTAGATCTGTCTCTTTAAAAACACTTTGAACTCCAATTTTCTCCCCATGCTGCTTCCAGACCAATTCCTTGGTGTTGTCTTTGAAAAACAGCTAGAAATTTGCCTCACCGTCCTCTGAAATGAGTCCCTTTTTTTTTTTCTCTTGCTTCCATTCATGAGGCGACTTGAGTTTCCTCTAAGCTTGGATGTCTTCTGTAGGTCCTCATCTGAGGCCCTGCCTCCTCTGCTGTTCTGTTTATTTTACTTCTTTTTTGAGGGGGGCGGTGTTGAGACAGGGGCCTCACTATGTCGTGCAGGCTGGCCTTGAACTTACTTATCTACATAAGTGCAGGCTGGCCTTGAACTCATGGTGATTCTCCTGCCTCAGTTTCCACAGTGCTAGGATTACAGGTGTGCACTGCTGTGCCTAGCTACTACTGTTCTTTTTATTAAAGGGCAATGGTAACTCTAGGCAGGGACATTCTCCATTGCCACAGGACACAATCACAGCAGGCCCAGGACCTGCAGACTCCTCCCTACAGCTCAGTCAACCTCTCCTGCATGTCTGTCTTGGTTACTTTTCTCTCGTTACTGAGACAAAATAATGACACCCAAAATTATGGAAGGAAAGGTTCATTTAGATCACTGTTTGTGGAGGTTTCAGTCCATACTAGGATGGCTCCAAGGCACAGTGGCACATGGCAGAGGGCAACGGTTCATGGTGGTGGAAAACAGCAAAAGCAGCAAGAGCAAAAAGGGAGGAGCGGCAGCGAACAGCCTCTTTCTCTGCCTTACACTGCATGCAAACTACCTGCCCCAGGGCGGGTGTAGCACTCACACCCATAATCCCAGCATTGGACTGTGGATCAATTAAAAACTCCAGATACCCAACCTATGACTGCATACGGCTTTGGGGGGACATCCAGACCCAAACCATGACAGTGTCTCACCTGTGAATTCTTGAATTCTGAGTAAAGGGAAAACAGCAGGTGGAGGGACTGAACCCGACTCTTGTAGACAGGAATGTCCAAGATAGCTAAAATGAAGAACAGTTCCCAGGAACAGAATCAGACAGACTCTGGGAAGTGGGGGGCATTTCTGGTCGGCATAGTCAGTCCCTTCCCAGATGGGATGTCTGACTGTGACCTGGGGGCTAAACACCCAGTGAGTAGTCACAGAAGCCTGAGCATCACCCTCGTGGGCTGCCGCACAGCACCACTGCCTTACAGTGGAGACCGAAACTCAAGACACCACCTTCCCAGTCAGTGAGCTCTCGCAAAAGCCGGGAACACAGCTACTGAGTTGGGCGGGGAAAGGCTGGAGGAGCTTACCGCAGATCACATCAATGTACTCAGCCAGGCTGCAGTCCATCTCTGCAGTGGGCAGGCTCACCTGCAAGGGTACAGAGGGCCCACATTAAAATGGCTCAAGCGCCAGTGCACCCAGCACCATTCCCTGCAGGAAAAGACTTCTAGCATAAGGCAGGGATAATGGCTGAATGGCATAGGCTCCTCACAATGCCTGTGCTGAGGTCTTAGCCCTGAGCCTCAGAATGTGACTGTGTGTGGAGACAGGGTCTTTACAGAAATAATTACATGGAAATGAGGTCACTGAGGTAGGCCCTAATCCCTACGGCTGGTGTCCTTACAAGGACAAATCAGGACACAGGCACACAGAGAGGGAAGACTGAAGACAGAGGAAGTGGACGAGTGAGACTCCACAAAAACTCAACCCTGCCAACTTGATCTTAGACGTCCAGCCTCCAGAACTGTCAGAAACTAAGTTTCTATTGTTTAAACCACCAAGTCTATGGTACTTTGTGATAGCAGCCCTCGAAAACGAATACAATTTGTGTAGTAATGTATTTCCATTAGTAAGATGGAAATACATTATACTCATTAACTACAAAGGTAGTGGGTGGTCTATCAAGGCCAAAGTTTTTTTTTTACACAAGGATGCTCAGCTGCTGAAATGGACCACCACTAAGGATACATGTACGTTTCTGATTGTGTATTGTACTTCAGTGGAGAGGAGCTGGGGCCACGCCTCGGTGGTAGGGCACTTACCTAGCGTGCTCCAAGCCTTGAGTTCAATTCCCAGCATCAAAGAAAGTCAGTGGTGACAATAGTAATATAAGAAAACACTGGGCCATATAGTAAATGCCACATGCTCTTACCTCCTGCTACTTTCCACTCACCTTGCCCAAAAGTTCTTCAAACTCTGGGGACCATTCCTGCATCAGTGTGTCAATATCGGGCATGGGCCTAAAAGTGCAGAGGTAAACATGAACAGGAAGCCTAGACTAACGACATCAGTAACCTGTGGGTCGGGATATTTTGGAATAAGAAGAGGTCCTCAATCTGGTACCCTACAATTTTAGGAGATCCTAGACCATGCAAACCAAATTTGCCTGGGTAATGGGGTTTGGAAGAGCCGGCTAAGTAATAACACCAGAGAAATTTCAATCTTTAGGTCCACAGGCTAATCCAGCAGCCGTCAACTTTTCCATTTCTACATAGTAGTTAAAAATGTACTTTATTTTCAGGCGCTCGGGCTGACCATATCTGCCGCAGGGCTTACGGCCTCTCCTCAGGAGCCGCGGCTCCCAGATGGGCGGACGTGCAGCTCTCACCTGGTGTAGTGCACAGTCGCAGGGGGCTTGGAGCGGTGTAACTCGGAGATGCTCTCAATCCACGTGTCAATAGCTTTGGGATTCTTTTCTGCATCTTCCAGGCTCTTTACTTTCATATGTTGCTAAAAAAAAAAAAAAAAGAAGACAAGAGCTGGCTGACAGCATTGAAATATTTTTGACCAAAAAAAAAAGAAATAAAAGTGGCAACACCTGTGAATGGATAAGTAGAATGTGGTACACATCCACACGATGGAATAATATTCACCATAAGAAAGTGGTTACTACCAGAGTTTAGGAGAGGAAGGAAATGGGTACAGGGTTTCTCTCTGGAGCAATGATAGTATAGTCAACTCCACGAATATACTAAATGCTAATGAATTGTACAATTTAAAAGGGTGAATTTTAGCGTATGTAATTATATCTCAATAAAGCCGTTGTTAACAACTAGGGCTGGCCTAAAGCCACACCAACCCCTTTTGATAAGCACTAGGTCAGCTGTGCAAAGGTCAGCAAGGCCTCCGCTCCTGCCCACCCTCTCCAGCAGGGCCCTGGTAGGGGGCCAGGATCTTACTGTGATGTTGTGCTGCTTGGAATTCTCTGTCAACCAGAGAGACAGCACTGTTGGGTCTGACTGCTTGGTAGAAGGTTCATCCAGTACCAACAGGCCAAGGTTGTCAGGTTTCCCATCAGGACGTGGGACCTGGTGAGAAAAAGGTGAGGAAGCAGAACAACATGAGGGCCGTAACAAAGCCACATCTGCCCATCCAAGAAGGTGAAAAGGCAAAAGTTTTCTTGTTCATCACTAGTGCTGGTATTAAGCATGCTTGTTCATGATATTGTACTCAGTGCTATCCAATAAAAAACGTCTGATCTACGGGAGCTTAAATACAAGGCTGAACTAATGGGTAATCAGGAGGCAGATAAGTGACCGTCTTTTATTATATGATGAGATAAAGTATTAACAACAATGGGTATAATTTGGAGGAGAAAGCAAGGTTAAAAATTCAAATGAAATGAACACTATTAAGGCAGCCAACGCTAGTCAAAGAAATTTAGCAGAACTGCTAGAATAGAGGGGTCCAAACAAACACCTAAGAAAGCAATGGCGAACCTTTTAGAGACTGAGTCCCCAAACTGCAACCCAAAGCCCACTTATTTATCACAAAGTGCTACTATGGCAATTAAACCTGAATACTGAGATTTTAATTTAGAAAAAAACAACTGTTATCCAATGCTCAGCTGCTAAAGCAACTTGCCTCACGTGCTGACAGAGAGAGCCCTGCTGCGGCACCTGTGCCATAGGTTCACAGGTTCGCCACCACTGATCTAAGGAGTCATTTTTAGGACTGACTGACTGTACCTTTAAGAATGCATCAATATCCCCGACAGCTGGGATAAAGTCGGGAATGAATGGTTTCAGCTTGTGGTCCAGGTCAATCAACTGAGGTGTGTACCTAAAGATAATGACCAGGAAGTAGAAGAGTGAGAGAAAGCTACTTGACTATTCAAGCTAAAAATACTCAAAGGAGATTGGCCTGGTTTTAGACCAGACAGGGGAAAGGGTTGGGACAAGGTAGAGATAGTGGGGTATATTGGGAGGTCCTAGTTCTCACCTACTGATGTACTGGAAGAGTTCCTTAATCTCAGCAGAAACTGGCAAATGCTCATAATCTGCAGGATCATAGGCCCTGGTGAAAGGAAAATATGGTTCATTCCACACGGTGACCCGAGGAGAGCAGACGTGGCCGAGCCACAGGTCAGCATGTGTGTTACTTGGACCACGGGGCAGTGACCCCACGCCTAAAGTGTAAAGTGGAAATTCTTGTGTGCAGGTATAGTTTCCTCAGTATGTAAAAATGCGTTGCTATGCATACAGATCTATTTTCTCTTTCCAAGACTAAGCCTGAAAGCAGGAACAATCTTTTAGTTTTACTTAGCAAAACCTCATGTAATCCCTGAACCCAATTTAGGGTGGATATTTTGTTTTTTGTTTGTTTGTACCAGGTATCAAACTCAGGACCTTGCACTTGCCAGGCAGGCACTTGTGCCGCTGAGCTATATCCTCAGCTCATTTTTTTGAGACAGGGTCACACTATGTAGTTCAAGCTGGTCTTCAACTCACTACATAGCCCAGGATAGCCCTGAACTCATGGTGATCTTCCTGCCTCAGCCTCCTGAGCACTACCAGACTCTGGCTCAAGGATGTAGTAAATTTGAAGGACTTAGGAAAACTGTTCAACTGTTATTAAATATATTGTAATTAATGCATGCTTTAAATTTTTATTTAGGGGGCTGGGGATTTAGCTCAGTGGCACAGCACCTGCCTGGTAAGCTCAAGGTCATGAGTTCGATTCCTAGTACTGGAAAAAAACAAAAACAAAAAAGAATCAGTGGTTTAAATTTTTATTTATTTTTTGTGGTACTGGAGATTGAACCCAGCCCTAAGCTACACACCCAGCCTTTTTTCTTTTTTTTTTTTTTTTTTACTGGGAATCGAACTCACGACCTCGCGCTTGCCAGGCAGGCACTGTGCCGCTAAGCTAAATCCCCAGCCCCAAGGCATTCATATTTTAAGTGCATTTTTACCAGTTTAAGATCTAGATAAGTGACTGATAAGTTTGATCTTAAGTAGATTTAAT